CACACACACATACACACACGACACTTCTATGCATATAAGGTACTTATTGCAACAAATTCATAGAGAAAAGAGAATGGTGGTTGCTATAGGGAGTTATTGTTTAAGGATCCCTCCCTCCCTCCCTCCCCCCCCACACCCCCACATACACACCCGACCCCTCTATTCCTTTAAGGGACTTTTTTCAACAAATTCATAGAGAAAAGAGAATGGTGGTTGCTATAGGGAGTTATTGTTTAAGGATTAAAAGTTCAGTTCTGCAAGGTGAAGAGTCCTCGATATAGAAAGCAGCACAATGTGAATGCACTTAATACAACCATACATCCAAAACCAGATAGTGGAACATGTACACACCTATTCTACCACATCTTAAAAACTAAATATTTAACTCGCTCACTGGAGGTACAGGGATTCTGTGTGTATGTCACAACTGACAGGTGACAGCAGCGAAAGACACCTGGCTTTGATCTCGGACCACACGGGACTGAGCAACAAAAGTCATTGTGCCCACCAGTACCGGAGTGTGCACCGGAACGCACGTGTGTCTGGCCATGGCATTTCCTGGATCCCCAGGCTCAGAGATGCTCTCAAGTTTCTATTCCCACAGTGAAGAACGTTCTTCCTCTCTTACCATAGTCTCTCAGTTGGACCCTCCAGAAAGAGAACTAGTATATGAGAGATGCAAGGATTCTCTCAATGTTTGACTAAATTGGCTGCAGGGATGAGCGCAGGCAAAATTCATGGCTACCCCTTCAAGGGCCAAAGAGTCACCCATTTACTCTCCCTCACCACCCAAATCCTTGAGGTACACCTGGTGGAGCCAGGTAAAACACCCTGATATAAATGTCCAGACCATTCCCCTAACACCAAATGATGAGAGGAGACCTAGACTCGGCAAGCAAAACTCCCTTCTTCCTTCCTCAAGGGGCCCTTAGTATTTTAAAGGTGAGAGGGACGAAAACCTGATTCCAAGGCTGAGTCCCCAAAACCCGAAGGCTGCAGAAACATGTCCCCAAAGCTGATCCTGGCCAGCTGACTTGTTTCTGTTGACATTCCTGCATTTTGACTTTCTGTGGCATTTACAAAATTAGCTGCCAACATTTAAAAGGTGCGGAGTTCATACACAGGGAGAAATATTTTCTGATGCTCTTGTATCACGGGATAACAACTCCAGCGACTGTGCTGATTTAACCTGACCATCTACTTGAATAGGTGGAGAAACACTTGGAAGCTGGGAGAGCACGGCTCCTGGTCCCAAATTAGACCTATTCAATGCGCCCTTGATGCAGTCATAATGCGATGGCCTCACTGGGAAATGATGAGCAGAGGCTTTCCTAGAAGCAGATTCCTGGGTGTGCACCCTTGCAGGCATCTTGCCCCAGCCCCTTCCTGTATTCACCCTTTCTCTGCTTCCTTCATGCCACAGGCTGAACAGCTGTTCACTGCCACACGTTTCTGCCACCATTGCGGCTCAAGTACACAGAACCACGTGGCCAAGGAGGAACCCTCTGAAACTGTGAGCTCAAATAACCCTTTCATTCTTAAGGTTCTTTCTGTTAGGTTTGGTCACAGTGGTGATGAAGGCAACTGGGCAGGCACCCTGGGTTTACAGCAACCTCTGGGCCAGTGACTGGTTGGAATAGAGCAGCAACTTAGCAATTTTAGAACAGGCCCCCCACTCTCTCCCTGCTCTGCTCTGTGCGGCCGCGCTACTCCTTGAGCTGGAGCACCATAGCTAGACTGGACACGGCTAGTGCAGATAACGTGGTACTTGGAACCACGGCGGCTAGGCCTTCTGCTGTCCCTGCAAATACTGGATGCAGGTCAGTTTGTGATGTGACAATTTTGGTCAGTGGCTTTCATGAGATGGCTCTGTGTGAAAATATGGTTTACTCCAAATCTCACCCCAGTCACAATACAGAGCTCCCTTCCCACCATGTATTCCATAGGAGTACAACATCTGACCCAGTTCCCTTGTGGAAAACTTTAAATAGGAAGCCGTATTCCTGATCAGTGGTCAGAGGTGGGAAAGGAAGGAGCCAGAGGCACACTTAGCACCCCATGGGGCAGTACCTTTCTACTGGTCCTTCAGTGGAGAACAGAAGGAAGTGACCAGCCACCTAAACACTGGAGCCTGAGGGGTAATATCTAAGAGGTCCCAGGTAGAGCACAAAAGAGAAGTTTTTCACGGTGACTGGAGAGATGGAGAGCCGGGCTTTCCTTACCTGCTGTAGGCACACTAATGTTATACTGAGGTAAGATAAATAGGAAGGCAGTCTTGGCTGTGACCTGGAAAACAAAGGAGAAAAGTTCCTATTTACTTTCTTGGCCACATCAAAAGGAACAGGAAGAGGCTGGTCCCTGCCCTGGGGCCCATCCCTTTAAGTCAGTCCTCCCCCTCCAGGACACAGGGTTTTCACCTACCCCAAAGCACCAGTTTTGATCTACCCCTCCCAGGACCTGCACTAAAGAGCAAAGCAATCCTGGGCCCCAAATGATGGTTACACTGTGTTGACTGCAGACAGAATGTAGCGAGCTGTGTCGACTATGGGGGAATGTAGCGAGCTATGTCTACCATGGGCAACACAAACGGTTCTGCCACTCACTCGATCACGTATTGATTTAGTTCTGGACTCCCAGCTCTGCGGAAGGTCACAGCTTTTAAAGGCCCTGAAGCTGACTTCCCAGACATTTCAGTTGTCTGCACCCTGGACAGCAGCCCTGAAGTTTCCGAAACAGTAGATTCCAGCTGCTAATTTCACACCTACCCTTCTACTGAACAGGGAACGGACCTCTGAAACCCCACCATACTGGTTTGGTTTTTATGAAAGCTATCTTTAGCTGGCTGTGGTTCCAATCTGGTTTCTAGTAGTCAAATCAGTACTGGGGCCGTTTACAGAAGGGTGAGATGACCAAATGTGGGGGTTTGAAGCTGAGATGCAGGAATTGTATGCCCATGTTCAAATGCTGACTCTGCTGGTTATGTAACCACGAGGAAGTCATCCCTCACCACGAGCCAAATCCCTTGTCTATACAACCATGGCTATGTGCAGTTCCGCGGCTGCATACTACAGTCTGGGGTGGCGGCCATCTCGATTGCATTGTTTCAAACTCCACAGACTACAGTCAGGACCAAGAAACACTCTGAGAGACATGCACGAGGTCAGGGGAAGAGAAGCCACTTCCCTAGAGGCTCTGAAGTTATGGGTTCTCCTCCAATGTGGAGGGCAGACAGTTGGATGCAGGAAGTGAGGATGTACCAGGCTACACCCAAATCAGTGTGGAGACAAGTGAAAGATGGCTGCTTGGACATGCCAGGGACAGATGACTGCCCTTAGCCTATTCTGCGGGGCCAATCCTCTCCTTTAAGGAGAAAAGGACTTGCTGTTACTCTATAGCTAGGTATCATTTACTTCTTATAGGTAGCTATGTACAAAGTCGTCATCCATCTGTGCTCATGCCTATGTGTGCTCTGTCAAGTTGGTAGGGAAAGAACAAATAAAATTAGGGATTGATTTTTGGTCCTCATGACCTTGCTCTACATTCCTGACCTCCATCCAGTTCAACTGCCTGCTTTTTCCTTACAATAATACGCTTGGCTCAAGCCCAAAGACTCTACTCATACATTCCCCTTCCTCTGCGACTCCCCACAACTTGTCAATATCTTTCTCTCTCATCCATCACGCTGCCCCTCAACTGTGAACACTCTGCAAGGCCTTTGGCTACTCCTAGAGAAGGTCACTCTTTCACAGGCAGCAGTTCCATACCATCCTCTGTGTGTTAGCATTTCCACCCAGAGGGACATCGCCGCCTAGAAGGCAGGGAATCCCATCACCTCAGTTTTCCTTGCATCCCAAATAGCTTAGCCCAGACGAGGTGAGTGCTCAGGTACTGGTGTGGGAGGTCCTTCTGTATATGTGCTGCTTCTATTGGTTAATGAATAAAGCTTCTTTGGCCTATGACAGGGCAGAATAGAGCAAGGCAAAAATTCCAAGCAGACAGAGGAGAAAAGAAGGCAGAGTCAAGGAGCTGCATGTAGCCACCGAAGGAGATAAGACAGATAGAATCTTACCAGTAGGCCACGGACATGTGGCAATACACAGATTAATAAAAAAAAAAAAGGGGGGGTAATTTAAGATGTAAGAGTTGCTTAATAACTAGCCTAAGCTACTGGCCAAGCAGTGTTATAATTAATATAGTTTCTGTGTAATTATTTCAGGTGTGTGTGTGTCCTGGAAACGAACGAGCAGCCTCCATCTACAAGGTACTGCTCACTGAACAAGAATTTAATGAAATACACTTTGATTCATTTAACCACAGATCCCCAGTCTCTAGTGGGAGCCGCCCTCTGCCACTAATGGCCTCTGCCTTGGGACCCATCTACTCTGAGTCCATCCTCCCCCATCTTGTATCTCCTGAGTGGGGCTGGCGAGTATTCTGGTCAGTGCCCCAAGTCTTCTGCTGTGGTTTCTGTTGTCCTGTCCCTGGAGCAGCTGTGTGCCTTCAGGGGAGTGAGCCCCCAGAGGGCCTCTTTAAGTTGGCCAGCATCCATTTCTCAGAAGCACTATGATTCTATGTGTGGAACACCACGGTTCAACCACGCCTGTGACGGATGCCCCAAAAGAACTTGAAACTTTTCTATATCCAGGCCATCTCCCCAGGCAACTAAACTAGACCCTCACAGTGGCTGGCTCATCAGAGTCTTGTCCAGCTCCCAAAGCATTCTAGCCTGCAGCCAACTCTGAGAGTCATTACACCGAAAACAAACAAACAAGGTAAGACAAATAAATAAAGCCAGGGAAGCAGGTATTTGGTATGTGAATTATATACACATTTGCTCGAGCCCTGCAAATGCAGTCAATTCTCATTTATGGCAATTTTATGAAACCGCTGCAAACACAGAAACACCGCGTCCAAGAGAAATACAGAACTGGGTTGCTACAAACCAGTCACATGTCACCAAGAGACCAACGTTTAACCTTGCTTTATGCACGTTTCTAAAGGACACCCTAGTTAATACATATTTAATACACACTGGCGGCTCATGAACATTGAACTCACGGTCAACAGCCCTGGAGCTCAGGCCCAAACGAGGCAACTGAAGCCATGCTGTTTCTCCCTAATTTAGCACATTGTCTCCTTCTCAAGATTAGGACCGTAGGTAGCACTTCAGGAAAATACTTAGGGGTCATCGAAATCCCATCAACATCACAAAATGCAAAACGATGGCCTCAAATAGACTGCAACGGGGATGATTTGTTTATGGCGCGAGAACTGAAGCAACAGGAAGGCAGAGCCTTGTTTCACCTCAGCTGGCGCCAAGGTCTGCACCTGCGTGCGACTGTGGAAAGCCAAGCGTGAATTTGGAGGTTACAGGTAAATTTTAGTAAAGTGAGCAGACTCCCAAAGATGAAATCCACAATCGGCGATGGATGGACATATCAAGACAAACCTCTTAGCGCCAAGATTTGTTTGTTTGGTGTGTGTGGCGCGCGCGCGTGTGTGCACAGGCAAGTTCATGCACGGGCACATATGTGGAGGTCGGAGGACAGCTTTTCAGGAGTTGGGTCTTCTGCCTATTTATAACGTAGTCTCTCTTGTTTCTGCTGTTACTGCACTTGTACACACACAGCTGATTCTCCTGTCTCCTCTTCTATTGCCCTATGAGAGTGCTAGGGTTATGGCTGTGAGCCACCAAATCTAGCTTTTATACTAACTCGGGTCATCAGGCATGTGCGTCAGGCATTACACCTGCTGGCGTCTCACTGGCCATCAAGATCTTTTTAAACAGCCCCTGGGAGAGGCTAACATCACCAGGTTTAAGTTCTAGAAGAAAACCTTGAAAACCTTCAATTACAATGGCAAGAGAACAGAGCTGACTAGGTGATACACGCTCGCCACATGATGCTCACACAAGGACACAGCCACCCTGCAGGAGAGCTGTCTGATCTGCAGCCTGTGACCTGCTCGCGGTTATACTTCTGTAAGACTGTTTTCTCTCACTGCGTCCACCCTGAGCTACCCACGCAGTAGGTGTCCCACAAATGCCCACTTGATGAAGTCACACTGTAAGCAACTGTAGTATTCAGCGGCCGCCGATGAATGTCTACCACAGGCTTTCTGAATGTAAGTCCGAGAGAACAGAGTCAAGGCAAAACATACTAGATCCCAGTAATTTTCCGTACGTGCCCTCTGGGTGGTGGCAGGAGAAACAAATTCTAAACCATCCTTATTCCCATGTTAGTGTATCCTAAATGCCAGTTTTCTTGTTTAATAGGAAAAGAAGTTAAAGTCTGGACACAAAGAGACCAAGCGGCCTCTGCCACCCAGTAAGCACTCGAGCCCAACAGGCAACCATCATCTTGGGATTTTATAAGTTTGTTCCAGAAACAACTTTAGCAGACACACAACAAAGCCCTTAACAGAAACCTAACAAAAACTAGAACACTAAGACCAAACCAAAGAAATCACATGCCGGAAGCCTAAAAAGAAAGACTAGAGAATGGGGCTGAGCCACAGGCGCGCAGCCCAAGAAGCCCTACACATCATCTCAAGGTGGCCGGAAATCTGGAGTCTAAACTCCGACCTGATCATCTGAAAGAGGAAAATAAGATCAGCTACTAAGTCCGCCACATCCATTAAAGGAAGGGGGCAAGGGAGAGGGCAAACAGGGGGGAGGAAGAGAAGGAAGCAGTGGCAGCGTGAGCTACAAAGGGTAACCCTCATAAAAAACTACGTGCTTTCAAAAGCCCCCTGGCACCCCAAATCTTCATTCCATCACTCTCCCCTGGCCTGAGGTCAGGGACTGTGCAATGTGGGTTCGCATAACACAGAGGGACTGAGAAACGGGGGCCTACTAAAAATGTCACTCCAATTATTTCTCATCCCTCTAGGGCTGTTTATAGGAAACAATATTGAGTTTAATAGCATATTAAATGCCAAGCTCTGTGGGTGAAAGGTTAAAAGTGCCAACGTGTTAATACACTAATGCAAAGGGAGGGTACTAAATTACATAGGAGGGGCTCTTCCCCCCCCACCATACACATACAGAGAGAGAGAGAGAGAGAGAGAGAGAGAGAGAGAGAGAGAGAGAGAGAGAGAACGCTCCAGTACAGCTTTAACTACAACATGGTGTAAAACACAAAATCAGAGATGTTGAATGCACTCACCCAGCCATACCAAAACCAGAACCATCCCACCACATCCACTTTCTCATGTAACCTAATGTTACAAAGACACCAAGAATGCCAGCGAAATTGCTGTTTCCGTGAAGCAGTCAGGATGCAGAGTCCTTTCCGAGGTAAGCTGTGGGCCAATGAATTACCCTTGGGTAAAGAACGTCCCCAGTACCAACAATAGTGACGACGAATGCCATCAGGTGCTTGCTTTATTCCTTCAACAGCCCTGTAAGCGCCGACACTGTAATAGACAGACACGGAAACGAGCCGGCCCATGGAGGGGGCTAGAAGGAATGTCTGTCTGTAAAGGACTCTCTTCCGGTTCACAGAGCTGTCATTCTTGAGCCTGTTTGACCGCCACTGCCCAAATCACAGCCTTACTCAAGTGCCCACCTTCAAGTTTAAAGCACAGTGCAGCTTCTCTACCCCTGAAAATGGAAGTCTGGGTGTCCTCCCTGCCTCACGGGCAAGAAAAGTCCTTAGCCACCCCCAGGCACTGGCACACCAGGGCTTCAAAATGCACAGTCGCTTTCGCTGGAAGTGGATGGCAGCCACCAAAGAAAGAAACCAAAAACCGAGATGAAAGGGACCACATTGTTGGATCCTCCACTCCAGCTCATTCTGACTTGCTCCTCGACAGACACATCAGCGTAACGGGTCTTGTACGATGCTGTGTGGGTACACTATGCAAGACCAGGGGCACGAGAAACTAACTCATGGCAGCGAAAGCCCTGTGAACCTTTGGGGTCCTGCCCAAGAGTCCAAAACGCAGAGCGGCACAGGTCCCACAGCTGAAAGCACAGATACTCATTCATTGAAAGTACTGAGCTATGGCTTGAGAGCCATCCTGCTGAGGCTGGGGAGCTTGCCTCCTTCCCAAGCTTGGCCCCCATCACAGGAAGTCAAATGGTTCCAGCAAGCTGTCCTGAAATTGGTTTCACGTCTTTCTGCTTAAGGCGGTGAATAGGAAAACTTCAGCAAGACAGGAAAACACTGGAAAATTACACTCAACTGGTGAGGAAGAGATTTAAGGGGGAAAACGTTCCTTAGCTCTCTTTTCTGGAGCGCCCCAAGCTTCTGCTTCCGGCACAGATCTTGGTGGATCTACCATCACCTGTGGGCACAATGGTCATGGCAGAACACAGTGTCTGAAGCCTGCAACTCCTTGCAGCTCCGCAGAAGACAGACTGCTGGGACAAACATGCTTTTCATTTTGGCTTTCTGCAAGCCACCGTTCTGGATGACCGGAAAGGGGTGAGTGGCTGGGACACAGGGGACACAGTTCTGACAGTACCTTTCTGTGTGGCTTGTGAGCAACATCTGGGGATTCTGGTTCAGTGGCTGAAAGGCCGCCTTGCTACGAGCATGGGGCAAAGCCAAGCAGACAGACCCCACAGGTTCTCTATGTTCACGATGTTGACCAGAAAAGCTGTTACCAGGCGTGGAGCCATAGACTAAGGCTTGATGGTGTGGGTGGGGAAGACTTGGCTGCCGCAGTGGCTATGACAACGTTATGACACTGATTTATACCCATCAGGCCAAACTCTAAACTATATGAGGATAAAAAGGAATTTATACCAGAGCACAAGGAGAGGTGTTTAGTTGGTGGTTTTAGGAGCTTGCTATGTAGCCCAGGCTGGCCTCAGGGCCTTGAACTCACCATCCTCCTGCCTAGGCCTCTGGAATGCTGGCTTTAGAGGACATCATACCTGCCTTATGCAGAGCTTTTGATACTTTTTAACTTTTTCTCTTTTATGTAACTGTTTGTCTGTCTGTCTGTCTGTCTGTCTGTCTGTATGTGTACCATGTATATGCCTGTTGCCTGCAGAGGCCAGAAGAAGTTACCAGACCCTCTGGAGCCAGAATAACATATGGTTGTGAACTGTTATTTGGAATCCAAACCTGGGTCCTCTGTAAGTGCAGGAAAGCTCTTAACCACTGAGTAATCTCTCCAGCTCTTTTGCTATCTTTAAAGAAGAACTTAGATAGCCCAAACTTGCCGCTTACACCCACAATTTCAAGTGCTATAAAGTAGCTGAAGGATGGCCTTCTCCATTTCCTTTGTATCTACAACATATAACCTCCAGGAGACTGTGTTTTTGTGCAATCTCACAGCATTCGCAGGAAATAAGTGCAACCCTTTCCTAAAAGTGCATGCATTCATGCACCCAAAGTGTCTAACATGTCCACAAAACATTTCTTGTGAAGGCTAAGAACTAAATAACAACAAAAGCTTAAATGCATCTATATATATGGAGTCCGGGGAGTTGCCTCAGTGGTTAAAAGAATTCGTTGGTCTTTCAGAGGACCAAAGTTCAGATAGGAGCCTTGGCATGTAGGATTGGGGGTTGCAAGTGATTTTTTTTTTAAAGAGCCAATATTAGGCAGCATTTTTAGACTTGACAGCAAAAAAGGAACCACCTCACCAGTGTGTCCGTGCTGTTTTAACTGTAGATTTAAGAATGTTTAGTACCATGAGAACGAAGCACACAGGGGTGGGGGCTATGGCTAGAACATTTCAGATAAGTCTGCAACAGCCAGCCAGTCACTGATTGCAGGCAAGTGTTATGACTGGATGCCAGGCAAAAACATCCCAAGGAATGTTTGGCATTGCCTGGAAATAAAAGGGTAATTCACTTCACAGGGTCCATGGACCCAGAGCAGCCGAAGGGAGGCGAGGCCCAGGTGTTTCTGCCTTTTGTTTGCTTATTTGCACATTTCTAGGAAGACACACGGGTCATTGGTGATCTACCGAAATTATTTTCAGGAATTGTTTGCCATCTGGGAACCCTCCCACTCAGCATGTTGACCCCTGAGTTTTGGCTTATGGATTGGAGCTTGCTAGGAAAATGAGCCTTTCATACACATAACCAGAACTAAGGGAAACTGGGGAGGGGGATAAGTCAGCAGGGCCAAGATCATTCTCACAGTAAACCTTAGGGTTCCCCCAGATCAGTGGTTCTTAGCCTGTGGATCGCAACCCCCTTAAGAGTCAAGCGACCCTTTCAAAGGAGTTGCCTAAGACCATCAGAAAACACAGATATTTATATTATAATTCATAACAGTAGCAAAATTCCAGCTATGAAGTAGCAACAGAAATAATTTTATGGTTGTGATCACTGCAACATGAGGAACTGTATTAAAGGGTCACAGCATTAGGAAGGCTGGGAACCACCGCCCTAGATGTTTGTGTAAGAATCTACAGAAGGTGTTCTGTTTAAAGATGAGGATTTTCAAATGCTAGGTACAGGGCTCCTCCATGGAGAGCTAAGAGCTGGTGTGAGAATAAGCAATGCTGCAGGGAGTTTAGAAGGCACAGGAGTCAACCCAGGAGCTGTGTCCTGTTGAGCCTTGCCAGGAATCACCTTTATCTCCACGGCACATCCTGCACCAACAGAAGAAGCCTCTGAACATCTGGGTAGGCGTGGACACTTCTAAGCTTGAGTCTGCAAAGACTTACCCAGAACTGTCTTCATGAGGGCACCTTATAGGCAAAGCTTAAGGGTGACCATTCACACACACACACACACACACACACACACACACACACACACAACCTTAAACCAAAGCCATGAAGGTTAACGGGAAACATCTAGCACACAAACATTCCTGTGTACAAATAACAGACATGCAGACATGCATCATTCCTTTAAGGTACATGGTCAATCATGGTTCTATTGCTGTGACGAGACACTATGACCAGGCCAACTCTTATAAAAGAAAGCATTTAACTGAGGGCTTGTTTTCAGTTTCAGAGGTTTAGTCCATTATCATCGTGCACAGGGAGTGTGGCAAAAGTGCTGGAGGTAATTGAGAGCTACATCCTGATCTGTAGGGGGAGGGGGAGAGACAGAGAGAGAGAGAGAGAGAGAGAGAGAGAGAGAGAGAGAGAGAGAGAGAGAGAGAGAGAG